CTCCCACGGGCTTTGTGCTGCCTCTTCTCATTGCTAATGGAGACTTCCCTTTGTCGGAGTGCAGGGTGACTTGTGAGGAATTGCCTTCCCCGGAGCCTGGACCTGGGTTTTTTTTGTGGCCTAGCAAGAAGTGGTTTCCTTTCCTGAGCTGTTGGCATCTTCTTGCCGGGATTCAGTCATTCCCAAAGGAATGGAAGAATGCAGCTGATAAGTCCTTAAACACCCTGTGCTCCCATAGGCAGCACCAGAAGCTGGCTTCATCTTTTCCACTTTGGCACTTTGGGGGTGGGTGTCTCTTTGTTACCTGCTCTGGCTACCTTTTTAGTGGCACTATAGACCAAAGGAGATGGAAGAAAAGGAGCGATGTGATAAATTCCAGCTGGTATCTTGAGACAAAGGGGATTCATATCTTTTGACTTTTTTTTTTTCTTGTGAGGGGGGAGGGAAGTATTACATTTTATGGGGTATGGGAGGAGGGAGGAAAAATATGTTGCAAATCTTTATGTGGTTTTTAAAACCAGCCATCAGAGGCAATTACTAAATAAACTGAAGCGCAAGAGGAGGGTTTGTGAGCTGGAAGCAGTGCTAGTCTACAAAAGAAAGGGGCAGTGGGCTGCTGTTGTGACTGTGGAGGAAGAAACTTCAGCCTCCTTTGTTTCTCACCACCTACTCTCCATCCACCCTGCGAGAAAATGAGTTGCATGCCATGGAAGGGTGACAAGACCAAAACGGAATCACCAGAGCCACCCCAGCTACCACCACTGCATATTTACCATGAGAAGCAGCGTAGGGAGCTGTGTGCCCTCCATGCCCTCAACAATGTCTTCCAGGACAGCAACGCCTTCACTAGGGAAACCCTGCAGGAGATTTTTCAGAGGTAGGATGCTCTCTGCACTGGCATTAGCTTCCCCTTGTCCTCTGTTGCTTGGAGGAATTTTCAGATCTTATTTGTGGGGAAAAATAGAGCAAAGGAGGGGCTCAGAATATGCCACTGCTTTGAACTAAATATTGCTTCTTTTTTAAATCCCTACCCCCTCCTTTTTTTTTTTCCTCTCTCCATGCAGAAATTCTCTCTTTTTACTTGTTTCTTAAACTATTCTGGCTGCCAATTTTGGGTCCAAGGGCTTTATTGCAGATGCTGTCATGTGGTTGGACTGCTGTCTTCTCCCCCACCCACTTTAATGCATCTTCTACCCATCTTCCATATTTTTGCCCCTGCCTTGTGTAGATACATTATCTTGATGTTAATAACGGATTTTGGGTTTGGCTCGGGAGAGTGAAGGCCGCA